TTTGAAAGAATACCAAAGTACAGTATCGTGTACAGAAGCAAGGGAACAGAAGCATTAACAAAATCACGAATAACTATAAAACAATATCCTAATGCATCGAAGACATCGAGATTCGAGATAGAACTTAAAAGCACTGTAATGTCTTTCCTACCATCTTTCTCACGCGTCCGGCTCGAAGAACATGCCTATCGAAAGGCAACTAATGCAAAACGTGAGTAAATGGTAATTAAGGTTCGGCAATTTCCTTTCGAATCGAAATAATGCAGCAATATTTAACGATTACTAGCAAGTCTTGATCGTATCAGCATTATAAAGGCTCAGAATCTTTTAAGGATATTTGAAGGAAATTCTGTGCTTTTTTCAAATCTCTGAAGCTAAAAGGTGCTATTATTTGCCACAAGAAAATTAAGAGGAAGATTATCAGAAGTATGATATTTTGTGGCTGGTTGTAGCCAACACTTTCAAACGTTATATAAATTGGATTATTAATTATTCCAACGAAGAACCAATCAACAAAAAATGTACCATTCAGTAGTTATATCAAATGGTACCTGTTGAGTTGATTTCATCTTAAAATCAACTTCAATCTACTTAGAGAACGTTCGAATAAGAATAATTGGAACTGGTGTACGAGCGTTAATTTGATTCTGGCATTTCTCGTGGAACGTTCAACACCCACTAGCATCGGGGCTAAGGAACCCGAAGGAATCCAGCAGTCCAGAGAACAACCCCTGGAGGGCAGGATTCGATTCCGTGGAGTCAAGCAGGTGCAGAGCAGGCGGCGCGGGAATAAACATATTTCCAAGCGATCCTCGGTCGAGCATCGAGGGCCATAAATAAAACAAGAGATTCCTCGACTTGGTCCGCCATAAATCGCGAGTCCGTGGCGTTCGATGGCTCGAAGGAACCGGGAACTTCTTCGAACAGCCTCGATCGTAAACGTTCCACGTCCAGGAATACCCTTAATACCTTTGCAAAAGCGATGCTGAACTTTCGATTTCGCGACTCCATCGCGTTTCCGAGACTTACGCAAATCCGAGAGACGAGCAAAGGATTACGAGGATTCCCTTGGAAATCTCCGAACATCCTTTCTGACTGTAAATCAAAGAGTTATGAGAAGGGAAGCTGAAGACTGTACGCTTCCGCTTCAACACTCTTCGTCAAGCTGTTCTGCGTTTCTCGACTGTGAGTTTAATGCTTGATTTGTCAGTAAACTTGTGTGCCAACACTTTCGCAGCTACCAGGACATTTATTATTTTGGGACAGGTAGAGATATTTTCGAAAATCAAGTACGCTTCATGTGACTTGTAATAATTTATAAGAATGCAGTTTTATTGCACTTTTTAAAAATGCAATATGTAGCTTTGAAAAAGTTATAGATAGAAAAAGATTTAATAGTATAGGATTGTCTATTTTCCTATGACTTTATCTTTTTAATACGTGCAAGAATGCACCTAGATGCAACTGCACTTTTTCATAAGTGCAACGATGCATATAGATGCAACTGCATTTTTTTTAGAATTGCAATGGTGTATACAGATGCAACTGCATTTTTGTTTAGAAATGCAATGGTATACACAGATGCAATTGCATTTTTTTCATAAGTGCAAGGATGCACCTGATGCAACTGCACTTTTTCATGAATGCAACAATGCATATAGATGCAACTGTCTTTCTTTTTAGAAATGCGATGGTGTACACAGATCTAATTGCATTTTTGTCATAAGTGCAATGATGCACATAGATGCAATTGCACTTTTTTATAAATGCAACGATGCACTCAGATGCAACTGCACTTTTCCAACAAAGGAATTAATAAGGAATTAATAATTTTCTCAAAATATGCTTTACAAAAATTGTTTATTATCATAAAATTATTCATACAAGAATGAAAATTGACTGCTTTTAACAGTTGTCTTTTGGCGAACACCCACGCGAATGTATTCAGAGACTGGAATACACGGTTCGCCTAAGATACGACGCGCGAAATTACTCGCATAATATAAACGTTTAAGACGTCGTTCGTTCGGAGGAATTTCAGTTGAAAAGCGATTCCCTCGATCGACGAGGCACTCCCACGGTTTCGTGGAGTCACGAGCGCGCTTTCACGCGATATCTGCACAACCGCCCCTATAAAGATAGGCCTCTTCTCTACCGAGAAACACTGTTGGATTCTAAGCGCATAAACGCCGAGACTCAGCCGCACCTGATAGACACACCGCTCTCACTTGAATGTTGATAACGTCTTCGTTGAAACAAAGAACCTAAGGAATCATTTCTTCTTTACGCAGAAAAAGCGTAACTACCCATTGGCGTAATTAGATAGGTATCAATTCTTCAAAATAATGACTATTCCTCTTTATAAAATGAAATATTTCATTTCGTTTGAGTCCAAAATAGAATTTCGATCGCGCAGCTCATTAATAAGCCCCATTTATAATCGAAGATGTTCATCAAGCCCGCCAAAATGCCTGGGCCCCTCAGTCAGTCAGAAGGCTTGATCGAGAACGAAGCGAGGAAAAAAAAGAAGCAGAACTCATTGCTCGTCAGAGCTCAACCCGTGACCTCTCAACTTCCACCACCCCTGTATCCTTGCACGATCTTCTTCATCATTAATTAACATTGCCAGAAAGATTATTCTGTCAACGAAGATATAATGGGCGGCACGAGATTTATGCGTGCAACGAGAAAGCGGCATAATCGAACGCTTAAGGGTTGTACCATTTTTCCACCAGCCGCCCAATGATTTATTTTATGATACTGATTGGATAAAAATTCATTCGCGTACGTTTGAAATATTTTCACCGGATCGATTAATTTTCGGTAGAACAGCTTTCAATTACAACGAGTTAAATATAGTATAATACTATCGCGTTGATAATTTTCAAACTCCCACGTAATGTGTTAATTACATCCGTCGAACAGATTGAACTATTAGCGATCCATCTCTGAAACAAATCGCGCGTATCGCGTTACAAGGCTGCTTACACTCTGCTTTGAATTCCATTATCTCTTCCTTCCTTTATCCAGTTCCTGGTCTGGTATTCCCCTCCCACGCCCCAAGAACTTATGCAAACCAGACGCGCAATGATCGCATCTGTTCACAATGGGTCGCTAACGAAGTCTCCTCTGGCCTGATCTCGGCGTAAAAGAACAGCCGTGTAACAATCGGCCGCGTGAAATTTTTTCACCCTCCCATCGCATCGCGTGCACACGCCTCGCGTATTCGATGCGAGTATGCACTCGCTCGAAACGTGTCGAGACGATCGATACACTTTGAGAATTTAATTACTAGTACGAGGAAGAGTTAAATGGTTCGTCGTAGGGTAATTTAGATAATAGAACAAATTGACGATTATAAAAATCCTCTTAAAACAAGACAATACGCTTGATCAAGATTAGGCACGGTTCGTATCAAACACTTCTTCACCGCGCTAAGCTCGGTTTCATTGTTAAACTGCCACTGCCACCTACAACCATCTGTTACTTTCTTTCCACCGATCTCGGTTGAATCACCCTCCTACCTACTACAACCTGATTACATATGTACAACACTTGGTAAATAAGAAAACAAATACAGCTTCTTATATATTGCTCCCTGTCGAGGAAATCTCGAGAATGCTGTAAACGATGCCTCGAACCGGCATAACCGGGGTATTTTTTAACCCTGAGCTGGCAAGTCTTAATACACTGGTTCTTACGTATTTTTAATATTTAAATTAACGATTTTTCAATTTGTATGCATAAAGTTTCAGTATTTCAAGAATTTATTCAGAATTAATTAACAGTATTTTGTATGTACAAGCTCGTTTAATTTCAACGGATAAAACAAACGTTGTCAACCCACGGAAACAAGTTTAGCAACTTTAATTGTTCTAAGAGTTTATATAAGAGAAAAAATGAGACGTGATGGAATTGTAAACGTTTCCATCGATCAAAAGGGTCGTTTATTAATCGACCACTTTCCCGGCTACGATCTTGCGCAAGCAATCGTACTGCCTTTTAATCTGAGATCGAATTCCCGATAGAATTCGCGCGCTCGATCGATCATCGCCTCCGACGTGATCGATATATATCGACACTACGCACACTCGATCGATTCTATGGAGTTACGGATATCTCGCGGCCCATTAAGCGCCATCGGCACGCTACATTTTAATGAATTTCTGGTTACGAGGATATTGCCTTTCGATTTTTATTCGACCAGCGTTTCGATGGTTCTCCTTGACTTGATTTATCGGCCAAGGAAAAGTTCTCCGTCCGTATAGAATGCTGAGAACGGTAATCATGATTTGAAAAATGGAATGATCTTGTTCGATCCTCTTTTTATATGATACTATTTAGGACATTAAAAATCTGACGTGATTCGATGACATAAAAGTATCATAAAAATGCACTTATTTTATATCAATTTGAAGCTTAATGTTTGCACAAAATGATTTTATAAGTATTTTGTTAATAATATTAATGTAAGTTGGATGGTTGTTAGAAAAGTTTCAACAGGAGATTAGAAAACAGTGATCAATAGGAGATTCCCTGACAATCAGCCATTATAGTTTGTATCAATGGATAATTTATATAGTAATTTTCAGTAAATTTTAAGCTTCAAATAAACATAGAATAAGTGATATTTCATGATAATTTTATGTCATCAAATCGTATCAAACTTTACACGTTTCAAAATTAGTCATTGTTTACTACAATTATCAATCAGCCATTTTGTATTAAGAATTTTGAAGAAACGTTTATACAGTCTTTTTGGGTGTCTTTTAAGCTTTAGATTGATATATTACAAGCGGCACTTTGCAATAGTTTTATGTCATCAAATCGTGTTAGACTTTTTCTAATTATTTTAAGTAGTATAAGTCAACGATTAAGGAGACAATTTCAGTTTTCATGGGTTCCTTCAGCTAAAATCTATTCTCCGCTAAAATGTAGTTATTTCCTATCAAATGAAAAGTAGATTTAACTGAAAAAGAAAGAAATTTGATTGCACTCACCAGGATATCCTTCGGGTATCACGATTTCGGGTCCAACTTTGACGTCGTGCCGATAACGGTGCATCAACAAGGTAGCCGTAACTCTCAACGATCTTTGTTGTTGTTTGTACAATAATATCGGTCTTCCACCGGCACCTTCTACCCTAACCACCCTGGGTAACGAAAATCTGTCCAAAAACTCGCGGAGGGGCATGAATCCACCCCCGGAATTCGCGGCTTCCGCGGTCGCTTCCCGCGAACTGGGCAACGAATCATCACCAGTTCCGGTTGCTTCACCACTGGACAATGTCGAAAATTCACCACTCGACGACATCGTCACGCACTAGATTGTTATTCACGGTTTCATAGGCACTGAATTTCACGAGCTTTGACCAGGAATCGCTAGGAAACTGTTCACGTTTCACCCTGACAGTTTGTTCCTGGAAAAAAAAGAAAAAGGAAATTAAGAATAAAATTTTAATATTCCTCTTAGGCAAAATAATAAAATTATTTTTGAACCATGATCGTCCCAGGCCTTGAAAAAATTATCACATCTTCTTTAGAAATTAACCTGGATCAGATTTGACCCCATTCTCTCTTACGACTTGTAGTCAGATCATAAATTCCAAGAAATATAATTCATAGAAACGCATCAACACGTTATACCCTCTCTAAACAGTGAATAACACCCCTAATGCGTCAAATTACTCCCAGAAACTAACATGACACAGCACTCTCTATTATTATCATTAAGATTATGATCAAAGAAGCGAGAAAAAGGTAAAACGAAGTTTATTCTTCCAAAGGAATTCGTTATTCTACGAAGCGTGGCAACCGTGACAGTGATTCGCCGACGGCTGACTGTACCGTCAGCTAACGAGTGATTATGCTCCAGGCCCGCTTCGCGATGATGGTGATGATGATGAATTTATGATGATGATTATCTGTCGTGGCGTACCGCTGTGTCGCCACCGGTGTTTGTCTTTCATACGAAGTGACAGTGCCGTGAAAAAGAGCGAAAAAAGGACACGGAACGATGGAATGAATCTAGTTCAGTTTGATTGAGGATTGTTCTTTGAACATAGACTGCTGACTAATTAAACTTAATTGATTTTGACGAAGGAGGATTGCTCGTTGAAAATATTTAGATTTCTGGACATTTACATTATTTAAAATTATTTAGATTGCAATCATTATTATTAATTAATGAACTGAAATTACTGTCGTCAGTTTCATGCAGCATATGGTGCATTGTCGACTCATTTGTGAAATTATTATAGAATGATATCGAAACGACGATGACTACTTTTATTACACAAAGAATGATTGATGGCCACGAACTCTACAATTCAACGTGATCAAATTACGTTTCTAGAGAATGCAATGATGATTTCAATGGAAACTCGAATTGTTAATCATTTTTCATTCATTCATGAATTAGTCAGTATTCTTTATAATACTAATTTGCATTAGTATTTCAACAATTTCATAAAGGACAATGATCTTTCTTCCCATAAATAATTTTCAAATTCAATTTTCTCGAAAACGAAGCTGCATTTTATTGTATATTTTTTTTTTATTAATTTACTCAAGAAAAATATTTCTCTTCCTGATTACTAGAACACCCTGTATTTCTTGTATCAATGCAAAGCATTGAATTGGCGCTCTATATCAATCTGTCGACGTAATTGGAAAACGAATGAAAATAAAATGGTAACAGTGATCTTTCTTTTTAAACAATAAAAGGAAACGAATAAGTTGCCCCGTCTAGTTAGCACTTGAATATGACAAATGGGATTTTTGCGATCGACGACTTGATAATTTTCCGCGTCAGTTTAAATCGTCCTGTTATAAATCAACTCTCGAGTTTCTTGTTACTTGTAATTTGATGCTCGTCATCGCATAATATTTTATGCCAACTTGACGTGTGCGAAAATTAGAAAAGATGCGTTTTTAATTGAGACAAGTGTCAACTACGAGTCGTTGAGAAATGTAGACAATTTTCAGAATTATTTCCTTAGACTTTTAATTAAAGCTTTAGGGACTAATCAAAAATAGATCGGTCAGGTCAGGTCGGGCAGGATCTTAAAAGTCGGGTACCCGAAATTTCGGGATCCGAGTGTCAACTCAGAAATCCAAACTTAATTACATCCTAAATGAAGTATTGGCTTTCGAATTCAGTTTCGGGTCCCAAAATGACGGGTACCCGCACACCCCTAGTATTTAAATACCTTCTTCACACTTCAGTATCTCGCAAATGCATAAAAAATGCAACAATTCATTCAATTGCTTAGAATTTGATTTCAATTCCGATATAATTACCCACTAATTGATCTGAATTAAATATGAAACAATTATTCGCGATCGAGCCAATCTAAATTCCAGCTTCGATTGCCGTAGAAAAACGCAGTTTCCAAGCTGACTTGCACCTGTACCATCCTTCAAGCGTGTTCACGGCAGCATTGAACTCGCATCGCATACGAATGACAAGAATTAATATTCCAGCTGTGTAAGATATGATGTGCGGAGACTCCGAGCATTATCCACGGTTCCGGTCATGAATACGCATGAGCGAGCATTCTTTTTTTCCTTTCTTTCTTTCTTTCTCTTCGTTTTTCCGTGAAAACCATGGAGAGAAGGCCGACACCGACCCCTCTCGATTATTTGCCTCGGAACCTCTGTAATTGCCACGTAATGGACGTTTAATTGCCTGCGACTGTAGCGGCCACGGATGCGTATCGTAAATTGCGAGGACTGGAACACCGTGGTGTCTTGGTTTCGTTGAAATTTTATAGACATTACGGCTGCAAGTGTGTATTTAATAAAATTAACGTTCATTGCCGAACAGAATTATAAGACAACCAGAAAATTAATATCGTATTAACGTTGAAACAGGTATTGCATACAGAACAATCTATTTTTAACTAACTAAAATAATTTCATTTCATTTGGGCCAAATTAGAAAATATACAACGAGTGATTAGGTATATGGGATTTATTATTTTAATTCGTTTGACAATAATTCTTCTGGAACAAAGCCATTCAGCGATATCCTCGATACTGTATTCTTTGTTTCAAGCCTTTCGTAATTCAGTATGCCGGCTGTGTTCGGTCAAACGTTTTGTATTCTATCACGAAGGACAGCTTTTGTCCTCGCATACAGGATCCCTTGTTTTAGAACGTTTGTCACTATTTGCTTCGGACAATTGTATGTTATTGCTTGTTTTAAAAGTAGTCCATCTAGAAAGTACTCAATGACTGGCATTTTAAATAAAAATTCTAATTAAAAGAGTCAGATGTATCCACTGAGATTAGAAAATGAGACAAAATAATTATTCTAATTAAACCTATTTAATTAATTATAAAATTAGCGTAATTGGCATGATAATTGAAGTCACCTGTACTAATCAGTAGTGCAACTTGGGGTGGGTTAGAAGGGTGAAATCGACCCCCTTATTAAACGATTGTTAAAAATTATTGAATTTCTAAATCTGAAAGACAACGTCTGGTGACATAAGGCGGGGCAAAGGTCAAAGTACTATTCCCGATCGGTCTCGGAAGAAAGAAGGGACGGCTGGTCGTCCTCGAGCAGAACTTTCGAAACGCTTTCGATCTCACGAAATTGCCCTGCGAGCCATTTCACTTTCCAACGCGTTCCTTTTCTGGTGATGTCGGGGACCGGTGTAATCGGCCGGTGTCTGTCATCTGTAACACCGGTAATTGTCGGCGCCCGCGAAATTGCCGTCAACCTCGTACGGAATTAATTGCACGAGGACGTTCGTTATCCCGGCAATTAAAAGCTTCCGTGATGAACGTGACACACTATCGTGCCCTTCGATTTAATCAATTTCCAGACGATATATAGGGCAATATAATGAGCTGCAAAATTGACCTTTTAATTAGAGAGTTTATTAATTAAAAGCGTATTCTGACAAATGTTCTATGATCATTTTTTCAATATGAATATTTAAAAAAAATGGTAGAATATTGAAAAATATGATGACTGGGAAAATTTAAAGGGAAAGAAGCTTTTCACAAAGAGGGCACATAATAGATGGAGCAAAGTGAAAGTTCGAGATTTAGCAATTTGCCCATTAGCCGACCTGGATACGGTCGATGCTTTCCGCGTGACGGTATTCCGCCGCGTCCCTGACGTAATTTGACGCGGAACGCGTCCGTGCAAAACCACGCGGAACGCTCGAGCGAATTTAATTAAGCGCGAGAAGGCCTGCCTCGTTGCGAGCAGCGTCTTACTTTCTTACAAGCCGCGATCGCAATTAACGAGGAGGCCACTGCAAGAGGGAGAGGGGGAAAAAAGCAAACGGTACGATTATTTTTTAAAGCCGGATTATCTGAATTTATGATTTGCGATGAGTTTGATATCGCGCAACTAGTTCCGTGAGAACGGTACCGCCGATGCGGACGCGGCCTTTTTAACGCGTTTTACCGTGAACAACAACACCGGTTCACGCAAAATTTTCTTTTTTTTTTCTGATTAGTGACTCTAACTTAGCAGTGATAGTGGCACAAATCAAGAAGTTTCAAATTTACTTTGATGTTTTTTATTTTTATTATGAAAAGGGTTAATTAGTGGATAAGCTATATATCTGATAGCTGGGTATCTAGGTATCGCATAACAAATTCCACAATATCAAGTACTCAATCTGCCTTTTCATGTCTCGAGAATATGAATCAGGGTTGGGCGCTTTTTATCTGAACATACAATTGAAGACTAGACGAAGTGAACGACACATACACTCTTGTAAAAGTAAACACAATCAATGATGCACACTCTTGGAAGTTCATGGTTCTAGAATGGAAATTCCGTCTAAATTTCAAAGAAAATCATTTATTTTTATCAAAATGAAGTAACAGAGTAAATAACAAATTGGAATAAGAGTCCTGACGTGAATATATCATGGATAATCGTTAACTTTATAAAATAACACGATGGTCGATCGATTCCTTCGCTTACCCAAGGCGGATACCGACCATAGTACACCATCGTGCACAGCGGCTGGTTCCCATCCCAATCGCAATAGCAATCTGTTTGAATCGCACACCGTTCTAACCACTCGTGCACCACACGATTCCAAATCGATTGCACGATCGTTAAGCAACGAATGAATGGAAAATGAAAAAAAATAAAAAAAAAAATGGCACCTCGTCGCACACCCACCTTTCTCACTGGTACCAACAGTGACCAGCTGTAGCTGACGATCCACGAAACGCGCGAATGTCACTCACGCGGTTCACCTGCACCGAACTCGCGACAACCATGACCCCGGACGATCGAAACTTTCACTGTCGAACGAGCCTTCGATCCTTTCTACCACGAACCGATCAAACACCGAACGATCGATCAACGATCATGTATCAACGAGAAATTGATCGTTCGATTTCTCGAAAGATCGAGTGACCAGGGAATAGACGCGGCGCGATCGATCCATTCGATCGATCGAAGCTTTCAGAGCCACGACGTGGAGCGTCCCGACGCTCCGGACGAGATCGTGCGACTAAAAGCTCGCGAGGACGCGCCACGCCGCGCCGTCGAACGACCACAGGAGCCCCCACTTCTTTAGCTTCAAATAAACTGTATCGCGCAGACTCGGAGCACGCGAGTCGACCAGGATCACCGATGCCTTGTTTTCCTTACGATTTTTCATTTTCTATACTGGGTGTCCTGGTATTAGTGGTACGGGATCGAGTATGGAAGGTTTTTTTAAAAAATAGCAATGCGGAGGAAGCACCACTCTTTATCATACCTGAAAGGTACCATGAATTATATTTATAATTAATTTTCACGAAATTAATTTGGAAAAAATTAATATAATTTTGTGTAAGAAGGTGTTACTTTGGTTTTCATTTGAGGAGTTCGTTTGTAATTACTGTTTCTATGATTGATTTGTTTCGCTGCTACTTCCTTTCTATTCGTACTGACTTTCGGAGGGGACTCTCCTTTTTCCCGCGCAAAACTATGCTTCCGGTTCCGCGCCAGATTTCCTGCTGAGCCAACGCGTTCCACGGTTGTCCGACGATTTTCCTCTCGTCGCGATGTGAAACGCTGATGGTCGACGATGTGAAATCGTAATCGGACAGGATTCAACTGATGGATGCACTTGCTTGCGTGAGAAATTGATTACGAATGCAATTTGTGTTTGATAATTGTACAGGAAGTACAAGTTCCTTTTGTTGGTTTGTATCTTGTGTTTGGTTGATCGATTTAATAGGTTTTTGATAGGTGGTGATTTAATAATGATTCTAATGCTTCACTTTTTTGTACTACTAATTAAAATCTTAATATTCTAATATTCTAGTGTTTGAAAATTTAAGATTTTTTGATAATCTAATACTCAAAAATTTAAGTCTTCTAATATTCTAATGTTTGGGAATCCAGGTTCAAATTTTCTAATATTCTAATATCCGATTCAAGATTCAAGTATTCTATTATTCTAATACTTGCGAATTCAGATTTTCTAAAATTCTAATGCCTAAAGATTCAAGTATTCTATTATTCTAATACCCAAAAATTCAAAGTTTCTAATATTCTAATACTTGGAAACTCAAAACTTCTAATATTCTCGTATCCAAAGATTCAGGTACCCCAGTATTCTAATACTTGAAAATTCCAATTTTCTAATATTCTAATATTCTAATACTTGGAAATTGGAATACCCTTATATTCTAATACTCGAAAATTCCAATTTTCTAATATCCTAATATGCAAACATTCAAATTTCCTAATATTCTAATAAACAAAAACTGAAATACTTGAAAACTTAAATCGTTTAACATTCTAATAGTTGCATAAAGGATAGTTCTACCACTGAAATGAGATTCGTTCCGATTGCCAAGAAATCATACTCGGCTAGGATTTAGCTAAAACCGTGAATATTATTGGCATAATAAATGTATTACAGTGAACCTGGAAGCTTCTTAATATCAAATACATTTTGATAGCGAAATAAACGTTGGATTTGCTCGTTATGGCAACTCATACTTCGCCATTCAAACGATCGAGTCACGTACTTCATCTTCTGTATTACTTCTCTGTACGCGTTTTAGATAGTTTCTCAGGGATCAGCAGTCACATATCGTTTCGAAAAATTCTGAAAGAACGAGGAAGTAATAATTCCTTCGCAGCTGATTATATAACCAGTTAAAGAGAAATACGCGCAAGAAACATTTTCCATATAAAAACGAATATTCTACGCGTAAGACCTTGCATGCGTACCTTATTCTTGTTCTTGTTAACGGTAAACAGCATTTGAAAAACCTTGTACAATATAACAAGGATACTTTTATTTGTCTTAATGCTAGATCTGCAATGAGAATCAGAATAACACATTCAACACCTCTTCGTAATTAATAATTTCCCTCCCTTCTAGTTGAACGATTGAGATACATTTATTTCAATTAAATAAAATCATTTTATGTTTAAGAAATATTTTATAAAAAATTTAACTAAAATAAATCTAATGACTACAGTTCATACTTAATGTGATCAGACCAAGATGCTGATAAATTGGATCATAATTACAGTGATTAAATCTGATTGTTTTTAATCATGGTATCATTGAATCGAAAAATAATAAAGGTTTCCTTAGCCTATTATGCAAACCATCAGCCCGAGATGGTGCAACGAATGAAATGCAGCAAACTTCAATCACTGTCGATTCAGAACAGTTTATACAGAGATTTTTCTGAATTCCTTCGACTCAGCAGGATACGAATAGAAGCTATTCAATCGTCTAGGAAACAGTGTAGATGAAATAACATCAACCTTCATCCTATATTGACCCAGTTGATCAATCAGACGTACTGAAACAACAATAAACGAAAAGAATGCCGGACGTTTATCCGAAGGATAAAAATTTTTCACCAGGCACATATTTGTCCGTCAAAAGGAGAGAAAAACGCGCAGCAGGGTGTGACTCGATTCAAAAGCAAACAATCACGTCCACGTATCCCTTAGCACAATGCCATTCGCGATTTAAGAGGAGGTACAATGAAGCATAATTCAAAACGAAGAATCACGAGATTAGAGACGAACCTGTGCCTCTACAGGGTGTCCCAGGTAAAACAATGCAAATATATTCTGTGAATAAAAATAAAAAGAAAGGAAGGTTTAGGGGGAGCAGCAATTTTCAGGAGTCCCTCTTCTAAGTATTCAATTTATTATGTCAAATTAAATTGAATGAAATTTCTTTTCTTTTGCCTTTTTTAAAGATTGATTATTATTTAATTTTATTTAGAATAAATTTCAATTTTAGACCAAGGGGGCTTTGAAAAATTTTATGACTCAATTTCTTTTCTGTTGCCGTTTTTAAAGATTGATTATTATTTAATTTTATTTAGAATAAATTTCAATTTTGGACCAAGGGGGCTTTGAAAAATTTTATGACCCAGGGTTCCATACATTTTAATCCGCTCCTGACTAGTATATTTTTTGTAGGACACCCTGTATACCATCCATGACCCCAGTCACAAAGCAGCAACGAAACGTATTAATAGGACTGCGAGTCTCGCAACACAATGAAACAACGTCGCTACTCGTCGCTGTAATCAGCCTCGTACGAGTCAATAATCATTCCGCGACCGGCAATTACAGGGACAATGACGGCCGGCTAACAATTTCTCGTCTAAACACTGCCATCAATATTCCCTGCATTCCGGAGTAATTAGCAGGTGACGGCACGTGAAAGCGTTTTCGACTCCGTGCGTGGAGGCGCGTGCGATTTTTTAAATTTTCTCTTTTTTCTTTTCAAAGTATACGTGATTCAAAGGGTATATAATTAACAAAGCGAAACGCATTGCTTGGGATTAGTGAAAACAATGAAAATGACAATTCATTTAAATCTTTCACTCTTGGAATTTCTGATTAGGATACAATTAACCATGGAATTTGGCTGGTATTCATAATGACAGAAACAGAAGTTGAATTGCTCCAGCTCTGTTAGAGGCTAACAATGATCGTTAGGAGTGGGATTTCGCGTATCGCTGCGTTGCACAACGATCAATTGCATTGCGATATTGCCTGCATGCCGATACGCAGTTGCTCGTTTTTCCGAGAAACAGACACCTCCGATGAATAAAGTACAAGGAAATCTTGTATCGCAATGCTCGAACGTGTGCTGACATCATGAATATTAATAATCCTCTAACGGTACTTACTGTCGCCATCGTAGGTGGGCTATGCTGTTATTCTACCTTATTGATCATCTAAATTTCAATCGAATCGATTTATAGGTAAATTTCTGACATATTACTTTAAAGAAACAAGAATATGTCTATTAACTTCATATAGGGGTGTAATTACACCCCATCAATTTTTAATGCAAAATATAAAAACAGCATTGGCTCAATATTTTATTGATTTTTAAGAAGATAGGTATAATAAAAAAGAGTCTGTATTATGTTGGGCTGTGTTTGCACCCTTCTTGAAGGCAGGGGTAATCATCCCTTACCATCCCCCTCTGGATTCACAACAGAGAAAAGGTTGAAAATTGTAAATATTCAAATATTTTTAAATAACTCTTTCATCGTTAGGTTTGTACCTACAGCATCGAGTACAGTAATTTGCTGAAAGGATGACGACATAGTATGGCGTATTGGGGGTCAAGGGTGCCCGGTGATCAACGGCAAACTCGGGCTAATTGTTCATATAGACACAGCGAAGGTCGGAATGGATGTTGGGAGGGTAAACGAACGTTGCAATCTTGAACGGGAGGTCGATGTCGTCTATGGAGGAACGTGATGCATAGCGGTCCACCGGGATCTCTAGAAAGTGGGACACCATATGTTGGAACAGCATCTGGTGGACAGGATTCGCGAAACGTTTCGACATTGGTCAGAAACCAGTGTTTCTGAATACCAATCAAAATGGATACTTTTGTGGTAAGGGACCTTTAACCATTTAACCGTGACGACATTTCTTAACAGATTGGTTTTTGCAGTGAAAATAGATATTCATTGTAGAACACGTTGAAGCTTTAATTATTAAGAATAGAAATAGGTAATTTTTAATTTTAGACTTGGTTTAATTTTTTAATTAAACTTCAAGACTTTACAATTCCACAATTTCAGATTTCTAAAATTCTGGAATTTCAGAATTACAAAATTACAAAATTTCTATGATACCTAATTCATCTCCAAAAAATACTAATTAATTTACCTGTAACCTTCATGATGCTAGGTAGGCAACAGGGTAGGCCTGGCCCCCTTAAAAAAAGAAGACTACCCTCGTTATTTTTAAACCTTAAGATTCTAAAATTCCGCAATTTCAGATTTTTGAAATTCCAGATTTCAACATTTCTATGGAATTTAGCTCCAAAAAGATTCTAATTAATTTATCGGCGACCTTCCCGATGTTCAACGTGTTGAATTAGAATTTCGCATTGATGAGTTTTTCTATTTCACTTAGATTATATATTACCTTCTGAAACTTTCCAATCGTTTTCAATTTCAAGCTGACGTAAACATCATTACCAACGATTTCCTGTCTACACACTGAACTCATCAGAGAT